TGGAAAGACTTGTATGGATTCTCTTCACTTGCATGACACAATGGGAGTGTTGTATGTTACACACTGGAATGTGTATGGAGAAGAAAGATTCACACAGTATATAGCACACTGGTAAATCCTTCTTTTGGCCAGATGGCCGACATTAGGACATCAGACAGCAGTGTTAGAACCAGGTTAGAACAGAAGGGCATGCAGGTTTAACTCTGGGCTGAGGGTGAATGATGAAGATGATAACTAGGCTGAAAATAAAGCATAAATATCAAAAACCAAATGACATTAACAACAATAAATACATCTATATCAGTAATCTGGATTCAAAACATTTAATAAAGACACAGTACAGGCCTTCAGTTAAATACTGCCACCTGCTGGTAGAAAGGGGAAACAGCTTGGTACATTACGGTGGGAACCACATTAAATATTTATTTAATATTAAAAATATAGAACTGACAGTAACAACTCTGCACACACAATCATTTCTTAGATTAACCTATAGTAGCCTACCAACTGTACTGCACCAAACAATGCGCTTAAAAAACGTGACTCTTGCTGTTTACATGAATAAAAGCACAATATTATAGTGCATGTAATCAACTGCTGTTGCTAACGTATTTCTCTCGGTCCAGGTTTATTTATTTATTTATTTTCATCTAACATCACCCTGGTATAACGTTAGTGCTGCATAATGCTACAGATACAGCTACAGTAGATTAAATATTTTAACGCAGCTTGTAGTTGTCATTATAGTAGTCAGACTTATGTGTGAAGAGCCGGAGGTTTCTGCTTGGTGAAACCTGGTGAGCATTACTGAGAGTCAGAAAGCATCTCCTCTGGCTCTGGGCTTTAAGACTTTTACTGCCTTTCTTGGCTTTAATTCTGATTTGATGAGCCACCAGGGGAAGTTCTGCACTGTTTGAACCCGTGTAAAGTAAAATAAAAGTGAAACTGAGTCCCAAGACAGGTGATGTGAGCCTGTGCAGGTTTGAGGACTGATCATAGTATCAAGGCTGATCCCATCACCTACCATCACTCTCTGTTTAAATAAATGCTGGACTCTCAGGACAAAGCAGAACACCACTCCTTCCTCCAGCACCAGAGAAGGGCCCTGTTGTCACTTTCAGATATTTACATCATGATTTATGGTAACAACAACACCTTGTAACTGTGGCTCTGCCTTTGTGCATAAGGAAATGTAAATACATGGTGAGATGTACTAGACCCACCTCCAACCTGTCCACCCTACCCGGGTCACCCTCCTTTAGGACCAATCACCTTCTCCCTCTTTACAGACAGCGTCTCACATGTGGAGCCTGATACTTGAGGCTTTCAGCATTACAAGAAAATAATTGTTTCTAAACCATTTAAAAGTCTCTTTTTGTATTACATTGGATTTATTTAAAGGAATTAGAGACAAATCTGCTGTTTCCTTGGTCGTCCTGTCTGTTTCCTGGAGGCTGAGTGTAATATATGATGGTAACTGGATCGAGTTAATCTTCCTGATCATTTGGTGGGTTCTGTGTTTGTTGCATTTTGTTTTCCAAAGTATGTCCAGGCCTGTCAGTGTGGTTCTGTCTTTATCCCTGCAGACATGCTGCAGCATTAAGACAGTGTGAGGGACGTGTGTGGACAGATTGATTCAATGCTGCGTGTTGCTTGTTTTGGGACGTTTGAAGTCCTGCTCTGAGTCTGCTGGTTTGTATCAGATGTGAGAAAATGTCATTAGAAGTTGCTGTTGGTATTCTGTGATGTGACAGAAGGAACAGGTTTTTCTTCTGAATTAATCCAACAAGGTTAATGTCAAGGGCAACTGGACTTGGTTGAAGAAGATCTTCAACCAAGTCCAGTGAGAATCTTCATAGACTTCTGAATTAATGGCCTACTGTCCAAATAAAGCTCGGTGTCCATCTGACTGATGACTCCTCAGATTGTTACCTGGCAGTAAAGGCTGCTCTGGAGAACACTGAACAATGTGCTCAGACTTTCTCATCTGTTTAGGGGAGTTTGGCCTTTAGTAAAAAGTGTTAAAACTAAATATTAACCGATGGTTCGAGTTTGATAACAAGGCTAGCAGTTTAAATTTAAGCTCTTTATCACTGACTTAGTTAGCCTGTGTGGTTATCCATTTTCTTGTTGTGATAGTAGGCTTTCGGCCTGGTAATGCCACAATCTAGTCTCACTCTCTCTTAATGCATTGTGTCGCAGTGTGGTCAGGGAGCAGGTTAGGATTTTGGATGGTAGGCCTCGAGGATGATGCATAATTGTTTTAACTTTTGTGAACACTTTTTAAATTGTTTTTAGAACAGGCATTTTAAGTCACCAAGACCCTGTAGACTGCATGGCCTGTTTTGCTAGAGTTCACCATAGAGATGGCCGTGAAGGTTGATACACTGAGTTGCCTTAAACGTCTGCTCCTTGAATGAGGTGGAGTCAGAGCTGGGTGGATGATTTACTGCATTAGTTGAGGGTTATATAGCCACTGCTGTTTTGCCTGCCTGATCAACTACTGATTTTTGTGTCCTGATTTTAAATAGGGATTCTTTTTATGAGACTCTGTTACAGGTGGACGGGCCCTGTGAATGTTTTTGTGAATGCTAGGTTCTGCTAAGGGTGGGGAAATTACTTGTTTTAGGGCTGCGTGACTTCCCTCAGAGAAGACCTCAGGAGAAAATTAATCCCATGGGTTAAAATGAGAGATTATATCATGGATCTGTTCCCAAGCTTGCTTATTTGCTTGTAGCGCTACGCTACCTTTCTGCTAAGGAGGACAGTAGTCCAAAAATGTTCAAGTAGCACAGAATTAACTTATAAAAATGTATTATATACATAATATGCCTGAGCTCCTTCTCCTTGTGTGCAATGACAGTTTTATGATGTGAAAACCAGTAAAGACTATTGGATCTGAACGCTCGACATGGGCCTACAAATGTTGTTGTTTTTTAACTAAATTTCCATCTGTCCACTGCAGAGGCTCTAACCACAGCCTGGAGGAGGAACTAGTATAAATGACTGTTATATAATAACCACCACATTATAACAATATTTGCAGTAGGTTTTAGTCTTCACTAACCCACTGTGCTTGTAAATCATTTAAGGGCATATGCGAGTGAAAGAGTTGCACTGCGGAGCCCTGATTCACTGTACTGTTGTACATAGAAGCCTACTGTATATGACAAGTGTATTAAAAGACACAAGTTGACATTATCCTTATTTACAAAAACAGCCCTCAATTAGAAGGTGTGTTTACTGTAGATCATGATGTAAATATCTGAAAGTGACAACAGGGCCCTTTTGTGGTGCTGGAGGAAGGAGTGGTGTTCTGCTTTGTCCTGCCAGTCCAGCATTTATTTAAACAGAGAGTGACGGTAGGTGATGGGGCGAGCCTTGATACCATCATCAGTCCTTAAACCCTGCACAGGCTCACATCCTCCAGGTATTGGGGGAAATCTGGGAAGTCCTGAGATGAGTACCAGGGAGAAAAACTAAATGACTCAACTTCACTTTTATTCTACTTTACACAAGTGGTTCATCAAACAGAATTAAAGCCAAAAAAGCATTAAAAGATCTGAAAGCCCAGAGCTAGAGATCATTTTTGACTCTCAGTAATGCTCACCAGGTTTCACACATAAGTAGGCCTAAATAACTACAGGCTGCATTAAAAATATTTACTCTACTTAACTAACATAAGTATTTTATACTGGCAAAAATAGCAAGGGAAAATAAAAAGTTTACAACTCCACAGATTTGTTTTGGAAGAGTTTTGTTTTGTCACATAACAGTAGATGAGAGTTTTTAGCAGCTATAGCAGCACAGAAAGAGAAACTGGAAGGCAGGTGAAGTTCTGCACACCCTTCAAACTCAGTGATTAGCTTCCTCTGGTAGCAGTACAGCCTTCTCTTTGATAGAAACACAAGTCAAAAGGTCAAAACCTTCTTGTCTGTTGGTGCCACAGAAGGGGGCAGAGTGCCTTCTGCTGGTTGAGCTTCCACATAGCAAGAAGGCCTGTAAATATGTTAGGAAACTAAAATATGAATTAAATAATAGAAACTTAAATAAATAGGCTAACTGCGATCCTAAAGCTGCATATAACATTAGTTTACTTGTCTTAATCTGAAGTTACAGGTCACCAATGGCCTTACAAATGTTTAATTCTCCCCAACAGCCTAACAGTTATTATTTATTAGTTATTGTTTTTTTTCACTTAACTAAAGTGTTTTTTTTTTCACACCCAGTGCTACATTAGTTTTACTAAAAAAACGTTGTTTTAGTTTAGTTTTAGTTTATAATCACCTTTCTAATTACATAGTACATGGGCTACTTTTATTTTGGAGGTTTTACCGGTGGCTTTCGCTTCCAATAAAGGAATAGACCACGTGACTTCCGTTTTTGGTTTATAACGAGAAACGAATTGACTGAAGTTCAAAGACTCTCTTCATTCTTTGTTCAAAAAGGAATAACAATAAAATGAATCGTCAAAAATGAAAAATTGAATTGTTTTTCCTTTTTTGATTGTGACACCAAAAACGGTTATTTGGTTTTTCGTTTTAAAACAAAAAACAGATAAACGGTATTTTCGTTTTAGGATTACAAACGAATTACGTATTATCCAGAGATACCCAGACCGAAATTATTCTATTTTGTATCATTTCATTGTTAAATGAATTGAAATTAAAACATATTTTGATTGAGTGTGTGCATATTGTCCTCAGCTTACTGGTGGACCCATCAGCCTAATATTTTTGAACATGCTCAAGGACGTCTCCTGGTTGCAGCAACTCACAATTTTTGGAAAAAACTATTTTATTGGCTGAACCTGTCGTAAAACTCACAGCAATATTCTGATGTCGCCTCGCTACAAAATACAGAACAAATCCACAGTACGGCCACCCTGACCTTGAATAAACCCTCTGAATGTTGAATCATGTTAATGTTAATGATCAACAAGGTGGAGCTTGTTCATCATTAAATCATTGCATGTGAAAATCCCCATTGCATAGTACTTCCTTGTACTACTTTACAGCAAAGTTATCCGGAAATTATCAAAGGTAAATTGAAGTGAGTGAGTCCCTCTTTTCTCTCGTTATACTTGATGAAACTGCAGATGAAATGGAAATAACTGTGATACACTTCATCATACTGGGAGTCATCACAGGTGAGATTTTATTGCTTGATACAGCAGATACAAGCATGCGTTTATTTACTTATTTTTAAAGATTTAGCCATTAATTATTTAAGCTCAACAGCTTCAGATTACACTCCTCCCTGCTTTCATTTGGGAGATGTTGGAAATGTTACTGCAAATGTGCTTCATTCCCCCCTGGATTATCCACTGGAAATTATTTTCTTTACTCATGAGGAGTCCAGTACTTCCTTCATATAGCAAATGTTGATTTTTAAGAACGAGCACCAGAATATACACTGGAAAGAAGCACATTGTAAACTTGCTACATAGATACATTATGACAAAATACACCAATCTTCAACATTCTGTTGTACTTAGTGGTTAATAATATATTTATAAACCAGAGGTTTTGTTTGCAGTAAATAGACAAGTTTAGAAAAAATTCAAAGCTACAACTGAGTTTTAAAAAATCATGAGCCTTGGTTGGTTGATCATTTTGTCTGCTGCAGATTTGGGTTTTGAATAGTTATTAGATCAAGACCTTGTTTTGAATTGGGATTTAATCATCACAGTATCCAATTTCACAATGTCCTCATTATTAATTTGATGATGATGATGAGATGTGTAACTTTTAAACTCTTCCAGGTTTAACCAAAGGAGCTGGTTTGTTACCAGACGGTCCTCTGGATGCAGCTGTGGGAGGGACGGTGATGTTCACCACAACACTGACTCCAGCAGAGAAACCCTTTATAACAGTGGGCTGGAACATTGGTGATAGAAACATAATCAGTTCAAATGTTGGAAACGTAACTGGACCAGGTTATGAAGGCAGGATCACCTATTTCACATCTACTGCATCTCTGGAGCTCAGGAATCTGACTCTTAATGACAGTGGAGAATACAGAGTTACCGTTACACCACAGGGAGAAGCACAAAAGCATGGAACCACCAGACTGTCTGTACATGGTGAGCAAATGTTTCATATTGCGTCTCTTTCAGTGCTGAAAGGAGATTATGGCAAATCAGAAATAAATAAATATTGTGTCTGTTAAAATAATTATGTTTACATGCTCAGTAGTTTCAAATAAAATCTGTAATTATGTTATTACATAGTATAATACTAAGGCAAAACAAATAGCAATAATTGCATTATAAACACCCTGAAAACATAATGAGCAATGGGGACCTACATTAACACCAGCTAAGACTGAACAGTATGCAGAAAACAATCATATTGTAATTCCTTTGAACGATATTGCGATAAGAGTCATCGTTTCAGTGGTAATGGTAATTTTTTTAATATATCAAATTTGTAATATAATGATGTGATATTTCCTGGGGTCCATACCAAACCAGCATGTTCCCTTATGACTGGCGAAGATTATTTGTAGGCCGGGCATGTCTGTAACACAACAATGCTTGATTTATAGAGGTGTGTTGTGACGCATTTTACCTTTGTCCAAAAACTGCACCTTCTGTGATCTGAGATTTAAGACAACTGGTGCTTAGCAATACCCTTATATTTACTGGTATGACTATAAGTACTGACTTCAACATTATGTTTAAACATGTAGTCCTAATGGATGCACTGAGTTTGCTTTTAATTTTGGTACACCTGTATGAATCTGTACATATTTAGCTTCTGTTGACTTTACTAGATAGATTATGATTAGAGTTTTAAGGTCATACACATTAACTGGTGTTAAATTGGGCTGCAATATATAGAAAATTTATTATAAAGTGCGACCACCAAAATCAGTGTGCCTTAATTTAAAAAATAAAATAAGACAAGTAAAACATTACTTGTCTTATCCAAGGACAGTTCAAATTAAGGGCAACTGGGCTTGGTTGAAGATACAACTTTTTTGTTATGCCTCTCATCCAAGCTGCTTCTTCAGTTCTGACTGACCGGCAGGGAATCCCAGCCATTTAACCTCTGTGGGGTCATTAACAAGGTGATGGATACCTCCTTGGATTGTTGGTGCTCCTGGTTGTTGTAATGATAATGTCGTTGTGGTCACTGTATTCTTCCAAGGATGTTTGTGGGAAACTTTTATCAGCCTGTTGCACCACTCTGAACATGTTCCCTTACGACTGGAGAAGATTATTTGTAGGCCGGGCATGTCTGTAACACAACAATGCTTGATTTATAATGGTGTGTTGTAACGCATTTTACCTTTGTCCAAAAACTGCATCTTCTGTGATCTGAGATTTAAGACAACTGGTGCTTAGCAATACCCTTATATTTACTGGTATGACTAAGTACTGACTTCAACATTATGTTTAAACATGTAGTCCTAATGGATGCACTGAGTTTGCTTTTATTTTTGGTACACCTGTATGAATCTGTACATATTTAGCTTCTGTTGACTTTACTAGATAGATTTTGATTAGAGTTTTAAGGTCATACACATTAACTGGTGTTAAATTGGGCTGCAATATATAGAAAATTTATTATAAAGTGCAACCACCAAAATGTGCAGCCTAAAACCACTATACCACTGAGTTAAATCAATGACTGTTATAAAAATATCAACAAAAATTTCCCTTGATGTGCAAATCATTTAGTGGAAACCCCAAAAAGCCTTTTTGGTCTGTGTATCATTATCGTCATTAAATAATAAGCGACAACATGTTTTTTGTTGTGGCAGGAGCTAGTGTAAACTTTCAGCTTGCAACCATAAATACTCAAAATGCCATAATAAACATGGGATTCATTCTCAGCCACTGCAGTATTTCCCTCTACTATACCTTTGTAATGCAAAGAACAATATTGTTTTTCACCCACAGAGACAGTTTCTAATGTAATAGTAAATGCCAGCAGCACAGACTTGGTGGAGTTCAGCAGCTCTGTCCGTCTGTCCTGCTCCTCCTCTGGATCCTCCCTCTCTTTCTTCTGGCTGAACGGCAGCTCTGAGGTTACAGCCAGCGACAGAGTTCAGCTCACTGATGGAGGCTCCACTCTCACTATAGTCAATGTGACCCGCTATGACCAGGGACCATTCAGGTGTCGTGTGTTCAATCCTGTCAGTAACGGCACCAGTGATCCAGTAAACCTGGTCATCATCTGTGAGTTATTAACATGTGCATAACATTTATCTTGCACTATATTCATGCAGTTCGCTACTGTGGACATACAGCTTCAAAGATACATCTTTGACTTTCAGTTGATAATGTAATGAGGCTTCGCACTGAGCTAAGCTGCATGTTAAGTAGCATTTTCTTCAAGCTGCTAACATTACTACTTTGTTGTTGTATTTTACTATGCATTTGTCATACACTGTAGATGGCCCAGAAAATATTTATTTGACGATATCTCCAACACAAGGATACTTTGAGGAAGGATCAAACATCAGTCTGTCCTGTTCAGCTGTCTCCAGACCCTCTGCCTTGTTTAACTGGTTTCTAAATGGAGACCTGCTTTCTGATACTGGACCAGAGCTCACACTGATAAACATTCAGATGAGTCACAGTGGTAACTACAGCTGCCAGGCCTTTAACAAAAAAAACCTGAGATATCAAACTTCTCAGCCATCAGTTGTCTCTGTACTGGGTAAGTTGAAATGAATCAGCACACACACATCAAACGGACAGCTATGGACCCTGAGGAGCTATTCACTGAATTTGACACAATGATGTGTGTTGGATTAGAATCACATACCCCGCCTTTAATATCAAATAATGTTTAATTGCTTATGCCTTCAGTAAAAATTTACATTTATTCATTTAGCTGATGCTTTTATCCAAAGCAGCTATATTGCTATACATGTCAGAGGTCGCACACCTTTGGAGCAACTAGGGATTAAGTGTCTTCCTCAGGGACACAACGGTGGATGGGTCACAGTGGGGGAGTGAAACCGGGTCTCTCACACCAAAGGCATGTGTCTTGTCTATTGCGACATCGCCACCCCATAAACTATAAAATAAAATGGTTGAGTTTTGCATTTTAAAACCCTTTTAACACTGATCACTGTCAGTTGTCTTGATACTGGGTTAGCTGGAATAAAAAGATTGAGTGAATATAGTAGTGATGGGTCAGAAAAGTGGCACCAAAATCATCCACCTGCATCATCTGTACTGGCAAAGTGTGCACTCAAATCAGTGTGCCTTAATTTAAAAAATAAAATAAGACAAGTAAAACATTACTTGTCTTATCCAAGGACAGTTCAAATTAAGGGCAACTGGGCTTGGTTGAAGATACAACTTTTTTGTTATGCCTCTCATCCAAGCTGCTTCTTCAGTTCTGACTGACCAGCAGGGAATCCCAGCCATTTAACCTCTGTGGGGTCATTAACAAGGTGATGGATACCTCCTTGGATTGTTGGTGCTCCTGGTTGTTGTAATGATAATGTCGTTGTGGTCACTGTATTCTTCCAAGGATGTTTGTGGGAAACTTTTATCAGCCTGTTGCACCAGTGGTTCAGTCTTCGCCTAGTTATAACTTAATTATTACTGAGTTATGATTTATGCATATCTTAAAATAATAAGTTATTACTAAATTACTCTATATTTGCCCAGGGTATGCCTAGGTCTAAATCATAAAATGGCACAGAATAAAGCTCAATAATGGATGAACTGCAGTTTTTCTGCCACACAACATACTTTTATTTATTAACCACATGTCATTTTGCAACACAGTAATCCAGCTGAGACCTGATTTATTGAAATGATATTTCAGTATCGAACTAGCTTTACTACAATGTGCTATGACGCCAAGTGGCTCATACCGGCCAGAAAGCTAATGTGCACCGTAACCGTTACGATGGAACTCTGTCTTTGCTTTGCCTTAGTTATGACTTATGACTCTAAACTAGTTACTTAATGCCCAAAGTAATCATGGTACAACCAGTTTTGTTAAAAACTAACTAGTAGTTACTAAGCCTCGACTTTGCACCCTAACATAGGCGAGAACTTACACACAGCTGTTGTAACCCAGTGCAAGCCCCTACAGCATTGGGCTTGAACTGTTTCTTCAGTTGGCTGTTATCCAGCCACTGAGTTGCTCATCCATCTCGATAAATGTGTAATCTAAATAATAGGTAACTGTTTACTAACAAGTTTGCTGTATCAACTTAAACAATAATTATGTGTCAATATTGTGTTGACAGCTTGTTTTCACTGCTTCCAAGAGGCCAAAAAAACTTTATTGCAGGTTTAAGGATTTCATACTCTATTAAGACTTTGTGGCAATAACATCTGAACAAACAGACAGCACATAACCTGGCAAAGATCAAGAGTCTTGCAACTGTCGACTGTTTTGAGTCAATTGTTAAAGAAACTAGTGCTTTTAATAAAACACTTTTCCATTATTCAGTGTGTGAATTGACACATTATCTTCTATCTAAGAACTTAATGTAATGTCATGTATTCCACTCATACAGTATATAAATGACTGTGGCTGAGATCCTACAGGTTGTTCAAAACTTTAAATTTAAAATAACTCTTTAGTGTGTCACTTGGCAAATTCTACACATATTTTAGGGTGCAGTAGTTATAATGTTTGCAGTTAGTTGTTCCTGTTTTCACACAAATTCTGTGATGTTTTGTTCTACAGAGAGAATATCAGGTGCTTCTGTCAAATCATCAACAAACATGCCGATTGAGGGGAGCTCTGTCAACCTAACCTGTGACGCAGCTGGCGCTGTGTTTACCAGAAAATGGGTGAAGGACGGCTCAGATCTGACTCTGACTGACAACATGATACTTCACGATAACAACAGAGTGCTGTCTTTTATCAGTCTGAATAAAAAAGACAGTGGAGAATATTCCTGTAAAATCAGCAACCCAATCAACACTGAGGAAGCTACATACACCGTGGTTGTTAACTGTAGGTAACACACTGTACAATGTACATTTACTGTTCAAAATGATGACTGCCATAAATAACTGTGTGCGACTGGTTTTGGTTTGTCAGTATGTAACATAAGTTTAAGTTTTTAAGTTTTATAGTCTGTATTATTTGTGCTGCTGTAAGAACTTTACAACTATGTTTTTTTCAGATGGACCAGAAAATGTTCAAATCACAGGTCCGAATGAGATCCATATTGAACAGACCTTAACATTAACCTGCTCTGCTGAGTCCACACCATCTGCTAGTTACACCTGGACACTGAATGGGACTGAGATACACAACTCTTCTGTGTTTGCTAAAGACATCACTGAACTTTCTGACAGTGGCAACTACATCTGCGAAGCAATGAATAATGTAACTGGAAAAACATCATCATCAGCGGTCCACCAGTTGTCTGTAACAGGTAACAAGATGGAGTTGATTGCAATTTCTTGTTGTTGATGTTGCCCACATTAACCCACAATGTTAAATTGTTATGTTATGTTTAAACAAATATTCGCACCTAGTGGGCTGTGAAGTCACAGGAAAGGAGAAATAGTTTTATGCTTTATATCCATAGGCATAAAAGATTATTCCTGTTTACAGAATGGTGTTAAATTATGTTCTTGGATCTTCTTTATTTTAGCTGTCAAAACTTCACCCTGTTCGGCTGGTTGCATCGCTGGATTAGTAATCGCATGTTTGGTCATCTGTGGAGCAGGTTTTGGTGGAGGATACTACATATAAAAAAAAGGTATATATGAGCCATTTTTTAATTATTTAGAATCAATACCAATTATGGCAAGTGTATTGGCTCAGTGTTGTTGAGTTTGGACTTGCAGGTCAATTCAGTTTTAGTCATAAACCATGGATTACTACAGGGTGGGAGGGAGTGTTAGGATCTGAAGAGAAGAGATAGAAAATAGGGAACTAGAATCAGGTTGTGACAGTAAAACTCTGTTTACTTTATCTACAACAGGTGTATATATGTATATTGTCTATTTAGCCCTGACCCTGACTTTAGCTTTGACTCTGACTCTCATTTTCATCAGTGTTCATTCACCCTTACAGTATCCTACTGTACATGACCCTGTTTAAAAATCAGGGAAATCACCTGGAGGTATTTGTGTGAAAAATAGCCTTCATAATATCTGTAACTGGTCACTCATTTCTCTTAGATTTGGTCAGGAATTATTGTATTTTCAATATTGATCAGTTTCATACAGTACTTTTACAGCTCCATTAAACTCAACTGACTTTAAGATTACATAAATTATATTCTATTAATGTGAATGATTCTGTTGATCAGATTAAAATAATTTGCATTGCTGGATTTGGTGTTTTACTTACAGGTGCAAGAATTTAAATAACTGTTTGTTGTAGTATTTTTTTCATTAATAGGTACATTAACAGCATCAAGCAGGCCACCTTTTAACAATCTTTTATTTTAAATTCAGAATCAACAACAAACCTCAGGCACATGATACAAGTAAGTAGGCTATTCATCTGACTTACACATGCAACACTTTGTCATACCAAAACGACAAAATTATCAAGTCTCCATAAACGACATATAAGACTGTTTCCAAAATGACATCGGCCATATGTCTATTGGAAAATACAATGACATTTTGA